TCACAATTACTTCAAGAGGATAGGCCAGCACTACTTCTTCCAGGTTTTTCCACAACAATCCTATGAGTTTAGGTTCCCCGGATCTCTTCGGGCTTAACCCACTAGTTTAACCATAATACCAAATTAATATGGTCTATATTTCAACTTCTGAGTTGCTTTGCTTTTTGCCATTATATTGATATTGAAGGAACTCTGTTATGTTTGTATATAATATTCCCAAAAAGTCTAATTCCAGTGCAGAAATAAAGAACTATATCATCTCACAGAGAGGAAAGAAATGTAATGGAACTCTATCAATGTGATAAAGTAGCCTGGAGCCAATTTCATTAAAACACAAGCAGGATCTGCTTGGAGCATAGGATCCAGGTTTATTTCCAAGTCCACTGTTCAACATCATTAAAAAATATGTCAGTAATTTAAACTTCCTTCCTAATGATTTTTTAAACCAGAATAAGCTTTTTATAATTAAGATTAGTAAACAGTTCCTTTGGGACATCTCTGTTTAATTTTATGACACAGCCAAACCAATGTGCAATTGTGTGATGGCTTCCTAACTTGAAAAATTTTGCAAACAATAATTCTTGAGCTCTTTCTATTCAAGAGTTAGGATCCCAGATTTTACTATAGTAACAGATTTTTACTTTGACCTCTGATAAGCTTCCTGAAATGGGTCAAAATATTTTCCTTCTTCTTAATCCTATTTCCTAGCAAATATATGTAGGTAATCATGGAAGGCATTTGCAGCTTTTTCTACAGAACTTACAGAAATGTTAATTGTAATAAGGCTTATCCCATTTTACATACTCCAAGACTTAACTAAGCCTGCTGCCAAATTCTGATTTGTCCTCTTCTAGTTGTTTTGGCTACGTGAGACAGCTCCTTAGCCAGCTGGTTTGGGAGGTCTCAGAAGAGCGCAAATTGTTAATTTTTTAATTGTATTTTTATATCGAGGGAATATTGCCTGTGGGGGTTTCTGAAGTGCCAAAATAATTTATCGGTGTTGGGTACCATGATACAATGTCCCAAGTCTATTCATCCATTTCCTTTTAATTGCATCTTTTATATTTACACAGCTAAAATCTCAGCCCTCTTGAACTATATTCCAGTCATGTAACCAACATAACTCATATACCAAATATTAGAGGATTTTACCAGAAGAATAAAAGTAGTTTTATTTATTGGGAAAAACTGAGGTTTTAACTAGCAATGAACATCTATCTATGTGTCTATTCTGGATTTTCAGACTTATAAGAAAGCACTTGAGAATCAGAAAAAGTGGGTGGCCTTTAGATTTTTGCCACAATAGGACATTTAAATCAAGAATATCATTCAGATATCTAAGCCTCAAGGTACATAATATATTTAATAAGTCAGAAGTTACCAAAGATGATATTTGTTGACTCTAAATGTCAAACTCTGCAGCAGAAACAATTATATTAAAAAATTAAAAAGAACTTTGCGTACATTTATCTTTCAGTTTGAAATTGCTTAATGCAGAAAGTTTTTTCCCGTTTAATGGAATGTTCCCTCAAAAGGTGAAGGAAACCTCTGAATGACTCCTTTTGACAGCTGGTGTAGCAAATGTTTATTGATAGATGGACTTCAAATCATGTATCTATTTATGTGCTAACTAAAATAGTATTTCTCCAAAGTGGAGATTGTCACATGGGTCTCACAGCAACTTCCAGCAATCCTAGCCAATAATATGTAGGTGGAAGAAAACAGATCTGAAAGACCATGATTGAACAGTGATTCTATACTGAATAAAATGGGGCAAATTAATATAAAAATATATCAGCAATCCAGACAATAAATTTTTGAATAGATTAATTAGAGACAAAAGAACTTACTGCTTTAAAGGTAGATTACAAAAGTTAAGATACTAGCGAAAATAACAAACTTCTGATTAAAAACTGGTTGGAATTCTCAAAGTAAAACACCGCTTATTTCAATTATTTGGCAGGATAATAAACTCAAGTATTAAGTATTACTGTTTTACCAAAGTGATTTCTCTGTGTCATTTAATTAGAGCAGGGATCTCCAACTCCAGGCTGTGGCCTGTTTGAAACTGGGCCATGGGAGAAATGAGCAAGCCACTGCATATACAAAGCTCCACTTGCACAAGTGGTGGGCAAGCATATGCATGTGTGTGAAGCTTCACTTGTGCAAGCAGAGGGAGATTGTGCTCACGCACAAAGCTCCATTTGTGTGAGCGGAGGGAGCTCGCACTCGTGTATGAAGCTCCATTTGCATGAATGGAGCTATATGCACGAGCTCTCTCCACGCAAGTAGAGCTTTGTGCATGAGTACAAGCCTCTCTGGTCAAGTGCCCTCCGCTTGCACAAGTTGCTCGTGTGCAAGCACAAGTATCTGCTGCTCATGTGAGTGGAGCTTCACAAATATAAGCACCCTCCACTTGCGTGTAAAGCTCCATTCACACGAATGGAGGAATGTGTGTGCACCACATATAAAAAAGGAGCTGTATGTGCACGCTAGTAGGCCAGGCCCGGTCACTAAGCTGGAAAGATTTTGGACCACTGGATTAGAGTAAATGGTTAATGTTAATATGATCACACTTTGATGGTTTAAAGATATATGCTTTTACTAATGTTGTTTAGTACTTCTACTATATTGGGGGGCATAAATATGGACTTTTAGACAAAGAAGTGGTTTCCTGTTTTTTGTTTTTTTTTGAGACATAGAAAATGGAAATGTTATCAAGAATGCAATTTTGGATACAGCTAAATTTTCCTAATCTAATTCACACAAGTCTTTCTTCCTGAAAGCCAATCCTCATCTCAGTTCTGTTTTCTATACTAAAGGAGGAAAGGAGTAAAAGAAAAACTGCTTCCCTGTACAATAGCCAGAGGAAATAAGAAAGCAGCTGTTTCCTTCTGTACATGGAAGAACTGCTGCCTCAAAGAGAGAAAATCTTCCCAAAACTTCTTTCTGAGATATTTTGGTCTTCTAATCTAAGTCAGACAATGGACCTGAATCAGTGCCCCATCTCTGCTTTAACAGAGGAGTGCCACAAATCTGTCCATCTTCTTCAGTTCCAGTATATAAAAGCTGAAGTGAGCTTTGGGAAGTTATTGTATGTAAAAATGTTGTAGATACATGAAATGATTCCACATTTTAAAAGTCCAGATCAGTTTATATAAAAGCTGTAATACAATTTTTTTTAAAAAAAAGCTGCATTAAATCCAAAAATTAAAACACAAAAACAACAGATCTTAGATCTTGGAGCCCAGAGGTTGTACAGGATATTGCTCAATGCCTTTAGAACTCCAAGAAGGAATTAAATGGGATTAACAAAAAAATCCAAAGTCAAGTTATTTTGCCTCTGCTGTTGAAAATGAATTTGAATCTGGCATATTATCTTAATGTTCAAAAAGGTTAATATGGCAATTGTTGAGATAGAAGCCAAAATACTTGAAATTTTAGATCAGCAGTAATATTTACCAAACTACATAGATCCCATCAGATCTTATACAAATACTGCCTTGGCAGCCACATAACTCACCTTCCTACCAGATATCATGTGTTGTTAGTTTTTTTTAGTTTTAAAAAAGAAATGGAAAGAGTGAACAAGCTGCAAAACAAGTTGTATCATGTTTATTTACAAGATTATCTTTGGGCCTTACATAAATCCATGAGCATTTTTTGAAAACAAATGAATGTTCAGGGTTCAGAATTGTTTGAAAGCATGCCCATATCCCTAGAATAAACGATAAGAGTTACTTCGGAATAGAAAAGAATACAAATTAAAGCTAATATAGAGAATATATATTCATGTATTTCTAAACATTTTTTTTACAATTCATTTTCTATTATATATTTCAGTAGATTTACTCAGCTATGCCATTCTGAATATTTACCCAAATATAAGCTAACATACCTTTAAGGAAGATAGCAGCTTTATTGAAATGAGCTGCATTTTATATTCTGCTCAGAAATCTGAACTGACATTCTTGGCTTCGTGTTGTGGTGCAAGAAAGATTTTTATGCACCCTTATTCCTTCAAAATGGCATTGTGTCTTGGAGATGGATGGATGGATACCTTAATGCAGTTCACTCTAATACATGATGAGAACTGAGATAAGCATTTCAGGGGCACTTTAATCAAGCAATTTAAGTGCTTAGAACTATGTATGGAAATCTTTTTCTTATAGAAAGCCTATGCATTTGCTCATCTATCAATTGCTTTTTCTCCTTACAGAAAAATAAATATTAAATTTCAGTTTGTATTATATGTATGAGGAGGGATAGGCTTTTAATTATTGTTAGCAGTTTATAGGCTGGATGGCAGGCTAGCATGTTTCATGTGGATTCCTCTTTTTTCTCACATAGCTATGCTTTGTATTAAATTGTATATGTGGTGTGAAATTGAAAAAGAATTCAGAAAATAAAGTTTGAATTTGATTCCAATTACAAGTACAAATTGCTTCTCCTAACTTTTAAGCATGAAGATCAGGAAAAAGTATGGTCAACTTAAATTAAATTTGTACTAAAAGGAATGGTATATTTTGAGCATTCACCAATATTTTCACTCTTGAACCATTTGTTTCAATGTGCAATCCTTTATTACATGGTCAAAGTAGATTGGCTCCAAGATATTCGTCTTCAAAGTATCAAAATGAACCCACAGACGTATTAAAATATGAGACTGGTCTAAATAAGCTTTTGGAAACTTTTCTTCTCTCTCTAAGCTCTTTTCTACTGAAAACATTCTTTCTCAGCAGCAGTATACCCTCAAGTTACAGTTAATGAAATGTTTCCTTTCTGTTTTTTGTCCCGTTTATTACCCTGTTTTCTTTAGAAGCATCATAAATGTATTTACAAATGTCATTATACTATTAATTGATTTTGACGCTGATCTTTTTGCAAGATGTTTCTGATATAATCTAAGTAATACTTGAGTATAGGAAGTCCAGTTAGACATTTTATCAATTAATTACATTAATGTCTAATTCTGATACCATCTTTAATTAATATGACAGAATTCTCTGACAAGAAGTTGTCCACTTGCTAATGATTCTTCTGCTCGGAGTGGTGCCCGATTCCACAGCTCTTATGACAAAAGATATGTCATCAAAACTATAACAAGTGAAGATGTAGCAGAAATGCACAATATACTGAAGAAATACCACCAGGTAATTCATTATTTGTTTTGGAAATAAGATGGTTGCAATTACACTTCATTGATTAAATTTTTGTATAATTCCTTAAGAAACGGGCATTACAGCTTATATTTATCGCCAATGTATTTTTCTTGAATTTGTCCTTTGTTGTACATTGTAACACCCATGGTTTTTAAAAAAAAATCCTTTAAGAAATCTCTAGAAGTTTTGTTAAATTTTTAATCTTATTCTGTATTAAAATGAATCTATGCTGCATGATTGTCATGCGTTTATTTAGTTATGTCGATTTCTTGTACAGTAGTTGAAAAAATATCCTGAGTCGTTTTTAGCAAGCATTTGTCAAAGTTACCAAGTTAAAATTGAAATCTATATATTCTTCTGTTATTAGAACAATAATGAAAGGTTTGGAAGGAAAATTATCTTTCAACAATTATCTGATCAGACCCAAGAATAAAACCCTCACATATTGACTTTGGGCAGGCTGGGTGAGGATGTAAGGTGCATTTCAAACCTTGCAAATGGGATTAGTTGATACAGTTTCCCATGCAAATAGTCAGCTGTAATTGTATTGGGTTCAAACCCTATACTGGAAATTAAATTTACAGATCTCTGCATTTTAGCCGACTGTATTTAGTGCATTAGAAACCAGCAAAAAAAATGCAAATTGTGGTTAATGCTGCAACCTGTCATAAATGCAAGCTATTTCTAAGTGTCAAAATGTGCTTATGTAATTTGGGGGGAGGGGCTTTGAGTGTGGTTTCAGGAAGCTTTTTTAAAGTCCATGGCGAATTCAAATGGTTTTAAGACACCAGTTGTAAGTCAGGGACTACCTATATGCATATCCAAAAAGAGATGATGCAGAAGAGTCATATTAACCATGATAGTGAAGGATATATGTTTCTAATTAAGGATGAAAAAAGAAATCAAAAAATATTTATTCTTTGTATCATGTTAAGCTTGGATGTTCCTAAAACAGCCAATTTTGCACATCATAAGTCTGATGCCATATGGACCTCAGGTATCTTGATCAGTGATCCCAAACTTTCCAGCTTGGTGGCACAGCCTGGTGCAGACTGTGTGTGCATGGCAGGTGCAGGCATGTACTCACAGCTTTATTTGTGCAAGTGGTGTGCATGCACCTTCCAATCAGACAAATGGGGCTTCACAAGTGAGCAGAGGGTGCTTGGGCAAGGGTACTCGCACGTGAAGCTCCACTTGCAGAAACACCCTCACACGAAGCTCCACTCGTGCAAGTGGAGCTTCACACATACCCTTGCCCAATTTTCCTGCGGCCCAATTTCAAACAGGCCACAGCCCTATAGTGGGTCTTGCCCTGGGGATTTAGGACCCCTGGTCTAGATAAGAAAATTGTATATTTATTTTAATTTATTCTATGATAGAACTGAAATGATTCAGATTTCTACAACCTCTAAATAATAGCACATTTAAACATTTTCATAGTTGATAGTCTACCTTCTTTGCAAAACAAGTTTTCACAAAGCTAATTAAAAATGATCTAATTAAATTGTACCAGTTATTAATATGAATGTGAAAGAATTCCTTGCTGAGGAATTCTCTTCTAAAACTAACAGAATCTGAACCAGTTCTATTTTTTAAGTGTTATTTTCACATGAAGCATTAATAGGTCAAGATTTTGTACTCTGGGAATAAAAATTCAGATATGCATTTCAATTTTATATAATTTAATTTTTATGCATTCTGTATGAACTTGCAAAATTCTAGAATATACTTGAAATCTTGAATCCAAATGAAATGTTCATTTCTTTTGACAAAACTATATTCTGGACACTTTATTTACAATTAAATTGGAATGTATTGAAGTGATCAAAATCCCAGAGACCAAAGTATACAAAGTTAGTGGAGACAATTATTGTTATAAAATAAAGATTTGATCAGTAGTGACAGTAGCTGGCCAGATGATAAGTTATTGTATTGCATCCAATAATGATACAACAATATAAAAGCAATGACGTTATAAATTATAAGCTAATGCAAATAAAGCCTGGCTTTTTCATTACAAAGAAATTTCAATTTGCTTTTTGTACAATGTCAAATGATAATGATGGATTTCACTGCTATGAAGCAATCTTGGGATATTGACAACTTATTGTCAACAACACTGTAGTGGTGTTACCACCTATAATATTTACTCAGCTAATCATACTAGAATGCTTTATGTTTTTTATTCTGCCCATAGTGAACATAACAGGGATACTTGGGCTAAAGTAATTAATTTAGCAAAATTTACTCATTTTCAGAAGCAACATCAAGTTTATTTTTCTTCCACTAGTGTAAAACAGATTTTGACATCGCTCTTGATAGTAACACATGCTGTTTTTTAAATAATGGAATAGATTACATGTTTTCTAAGTAAAATAATTGCAATCTTATCTAAAGAAATCAAAATTAACCAGAAGATGACACAACTGAGAGATCTGTATCAGTACAGAAGAAATAAAGAATGTAAGCTTCCCTAATAAGCTAATAAGGTTTTTCCCCAAAAAAAACACATTACAAATAAGAAATGGCTGCCAGATGGATATACCATATATACTCGAGTATAAGCCAAGTTTTTCAGCACATTTTTTGTGCTGAACCCCCCCCCCCCCTCGGCTTATACTCGAGTGACAGATTCCCCTCTGAAAAAAAAATGGTGTGGAGCTCCGGAGCTGAGCAGCCGCTTCCCTGCTTCCGTGTTTCCTTTGCAACTTGTAAGCATGGGCATAATCGGAAGCAGAAAAGTTCTTGCATGAGGATATATTGTTTTTTCTTTTTTTAACTGTTTTTAGGGTGGGGGGAAAGACCCACCGTCATGTGAGAATGCTCAGACACGAAATCTATCTGCACAAAAATAATGTGTGTGTGGGATTTTAACAGAGGGAAGACGTAGGGAGAAGGCAAAAGGGACAGAAGATCCTTCAGGGAAAACTGAGGGGGAGACTTACCCTTGTTCCAGATGAGCCCCCTTCCCCACCCCTAAGGAAGCAGAGGCAGCCAGCAAGGGCATGCAAGCCCCACTTCGCGGACTCCGTCCATCCACGCTCCCACCCACCCACCCACCCACCAAAGCCAAGAAGTCCCCCAATTGCACAGCCCAGAATCGCCCTCCCCTCAGGGGGCAGCAATGACGCCCGGCGTTTCCCGAGACAAGAAGCTCCTCCGTGCAATGAAAGCGCCCTGGCTCTAGGCTCGCAGGCTCAGAAAACGACGCAAGCTGCCACCACCACCACCTCCTCCTCCTCCTCCTCCCGAGCGGACTGAAAGCAGCTGGGGCTGAGGAAACAAAGCCAAGCAGAGCCGAAGCCACCTCGGCTCACGTTGTTTTCTGAGCCCGCGAGCCTAGAGCCAGGACGCTTTCATTGCACGGTGGAGCTTCTTGTCTCGGAAAATGCCAGGCATCGTTGCTGTCCCCTGAGGGGAGGGCGATTCTGGGCTGTGCGATTGGGGGACTTCGTGGCTTTGGGTGGGTGGGTGGGAGCGAGGACGTTGACTTTAAGCGCGGCTGACCGAGTGTTTCACAAATACCAGTGGGACCTCCATCCACCACCACCCCTCCCTCTTTTGCCTCCTTCCTTCTAATCAATCAGGTTTTCCCAGTATTTGCTTACAGCTGCATTTTCTCTTCTGCCATGCTAGGCGTTGAACGCGGGGATTTCTGATTCCCCTTACACGCGCGTGGATATGCCGTGTGGCGTTTTCTTCCAAACGCCCCACAGGCAGAGAACACTGACTTTCATGATAGTGAGATTGTTTCCCAAATCAATTGATTCACTAACCCAAAAGAAAAAGATGATGATGACAGTGGGAGGCAGGAGTCACTCTCTCCCTTGCAAGCCCCCAGTGCCCTGGGCTGGTGAAAAAAGCAAGAGCCATTCTTATGATCTCTCTCTCTCTCTCTCTTTCTCCGGAATACAGTCAAGCCCTTTCCAGCACGCGTGATCCACCCCCACTGCTTTGCACCTTGCAAATGCAAAAACCCCGGGATTTTGCATTTGCAAGGTGCAAAGCGG